TTTAAGGCTAGGCACATATCCTGGTAAGTTTGTTGCGAGAAACACATTAACCTGGCAGATTCATTGATAGCTGAAAGCTTATGGAGTCAATGCAACAAGGTGGGGAAAGAAAGAAAAAAGAGGGGGAAATTAATTAAAATGCATGAGTCCACCGTATGAGCGATGAGCCAAGAGGGACAGGGGTCTTTGGGGCAGCTATTGAGAGTCTTCTCACCCGATATCCAGTGTTGCTTGGGAGCATATACTGTGAGCTTGTAGCACTGGTACCGTAGCCGCCATTTTGTGGGGTTAGGAGGTTATGTGTCCCTGATCTTTTGTTGAGCTTGGAGCTGTATAGGCCAGGTTCGGTGTGTTGAAGTGTGCTGCTTCCTCGCTTGTTTCCTTGCAGGCTGTGGACGTGAGCAGGACATGCATGAGTTTGGCAGTGGCTGTAGAAAAGCATGTTTCCGAATCCTGTGCCTGGTGACTTGGCGTGTAGCCGGGGGAGGCCGTCTTCGTCGGCACCATCTTGTGGCTTTTTGTGCTTGCGGGACTGCAGGTCTGAGGCTTTGGTGTCCGTGCGGCACATTGTGTGGGTACTCGGCAGGAGTCTGGGTGGACGTCTGTTGTCTGCTTTCTAGTTTTGCCCAGAATGCAGCTAGTATGGCTTCTAATTGTCCCATGACATCTGGCCTTTCTGTACCACTCCAGGGAGTGCACGTGGTGTTTGCCATGTTGCCAGCCTCCGCCGCTGTAGTCTGCTCACCTGGTCCCTCCGTCTGTGGTCTGTGGACCGGGATCACCCCCACTGGTCTGGAGGGGGGGGGGGAAGGACTGGATGACTGCTTCTGTGCGTTGTTGGCATGAGGGCGAGGAGAGCGGCCGCCTCTCCCCGGCTCCATCACCTGTAGGCCATGGCTTCCCATCTCGTGTCCACGTCTGTGGGGTGCCATCGAGTGAGGTGTCAAGAGGTTCACAAGGGCGCCCCCAGTGTGGGTGGGGCACTCCGGTATGTCCTGAGGCATTAATTTGGCGAGTATCCCCATTATTTCAGCTTGGGTAGTGGGAGCCCAGCCGACATGCGTCTGCTCGGCTAGCTGGTCAAGCTCAGCCCCCAACCCATCCTGTTTTAATACTTACCAAAGCTTGGAGGAATGTAAAAGGAAAAAAAACTTGGGTTGAATAGGCAGACTTACAAAGATTCAGTGAAATAGCAGGTGCACAAAGATTCTGATTAAATGGGAATAAACTTGTGATAAAAGGATGGATTCACAAAATTATCAGGTGAATAGACAGATTCATTAGGTTATATGGGCAGAGTCTGGAGTGAGTGTCTTTGGGGTACTAGTAAGACCTACACGTGGATTCCAAAGTTTGAAAATGGGCTGTTGTACCTGTCTTTATTTTTTACTCTGAGTGCTCTTTTCAGCTTTTTGAGCTTCTGGACGGTTTCTTTGCAGTCTGCAGTTTCTCCCCAACTCAGGCCCTATGCGCTATCCTTCTGCAGATGGACAATGTGCCAGCTTTCCGCTACATTAGTCACCCAAGAGGCACAAAATGACTGGCACTTGGATTCCACAGTCTTCTAAGACATCTGGAACCTATGGGGTCTTTTGGAAATAGACCCTTTCGCTCAAAGCTCAACTTCCCCATTTTTTCAGTTGGAGACCAGATCTGACAGCACTGGCTACGAATGTTTTCTCCTAAGATTGGTCTTCTTTAAGGAATTACACTTTTCTGCCCTATGCACGATTCCCCGTTGCCTCTTCCAATCCAATGTGACCAATCCGGCAATCTGGTGATCGTGACTCCTATATCGCAGTCCCAACCATGGTTCCCTCCTCTTTAGGAGGTGGCTATCGGCCTTCCACGTCTCCTTCAACCTCTCGAGTGCCTTCTTTAGCATCCAGATGGTCTGACTCATCCCCTTGTTCTCAAGACCTCTGGCATCTCAGGGTGTGGTTTATTTCAGGGCACCTTGGTCAGTAGAGGGAGTTTCGCAATTGACTCTCTGGCTTATCAAGGGCACATGGGCACCCGACACGAGACAGGCTTATAAGTCTGCTTGGAGCAGATGGCATAGTTGGTGCATGGAATGAAATTTAAAACCCATATCAGCTCCTTTTATGTTTGTTTTCCATTTTTTTACTTCTCTGTATGATGAAGGTAAAGTCTATCGGACCGTGAACCTTACTGATCATCCGTTTCTGCTGGTCATCAAAGTTTCGATGGAGTGCATGCTGGTTGACATCCTGTCATATGTCAACTCCTCCATGGAATTTGTTTTGCTCATCCACCCTTACCACGATACTCTATCTTATAGGACTTCTCTATTGTCTTGAATTTATTTATTTTATTTATTTATTTGTTCTAATCTTGGCCGGGTAATGCTTTGCTATCTCGTAAACTGCTATCGGTCAAATTGGTCATGCTTTTGTGTTTAATCGCTTGCAAAAGGGTTTCTGATTTACAAGCTCTTGATGCTGTTGCTCGTTCCTTTACTCCAGAAGGTGCCCTTTTTGACATTTCTAAGAGGACAAAAACCTCCTCTAAAACAGTTTTATACCCAGCTTTCCCCGATAGATCTCTCCTTTGCCCTGTTGCATGCTTATGGGAGTATAAACTTCATACTGCTACTTTACGGAATCCTTTGAGACAGAAATTCATTATCTCCTTCCAAAAGCCACATCTTCCGGTGTCTACCTCTACCCTGGCCCAATGGTTCAAATATGTTATGTCTCTAGCAGGTATTGATACCTATGTGTTTTCACCTCATTCAGTTTGTAAGGCAATGGCTTCTAAGGCTTCCTTAATTGGTTGTCGCTTGGAGGATATTATGAGAGCGGCTGTAATTTCTACTTTAGACCTATTTAACACTTCACAGGAAATGTAATTTTACAGCTTTAATCTAGCTTAATAGCTTAATTTAAACTAGCTTAAGAGCCTCCGTGTCTTAATAAATTTCACAGATTTTAGTATTAACATGATGTAAAGTCATGATTTTATTAATGACATAGAGGAGAGTATTATCCATCCCTCCAATTCCTGGAGGTTTGGTCTTCTCTGGGCAAGTCGACTTCATGGTAAGTCTTTTTTGATCACTGGGTTTCATCCTTGTTAATGTCTGTTAAGAGCTTACGGTTTGACTAAACTGAATTTCATGTTATGTATATATATATATATATATATATGATATTCCATGTAATGAAATTTTATGCATAAATGCAGTTTTATACTTGATATTACCATATTCTGTTCTCTCTTACAGCTTGACTTCGAGGTCCAGGTT